GAAACAAACATTTTTGGTGTTTTACTGTAAATGTTTTTATTTGTTCATCCTGGAGCTCGTAGGTTTTGAGCATTCACAGTAGACTGTGATTTAGGAGTGCATAGTGCCTGAGTTTAGACGTTTGTGAACTTTCTGAAAGCCTCTGAAAGTCTTTTATGGAATCAAAATAACCCATAATCCAACATCTGCTCATATCTTGGTATTTTTAGTTTCTGAATAGAGTAAATAAATAGCCTTCCTTCTGAGACTGCTTTCTATCAGTGGATTTCAAACTACTTTAGAAACCAAATAGATATAATTAGTAATACAATCTGTAAGTTAGAGAAATTTTATTTTTATATTGTGTTTCAGAAAATGGGCACAGAGATATGAAGTGCTTTGCCAGCATCTGCCACAAGTCAGCTTAAGCCCAGGATTGAATGCAGATGTGCCAAATGTCCCAGGCCCATATTTTAGTCATCAGGTTACTTCTCCAACATTCAGAACTTCCAACATTTCTTTCTTGGCCTTTTAAAGAGTTTTATGTTATATCAAAGAGGCCAGCATAATGTCTTGCACAATCATTCAATCGTTGTTATTTTATGTGCACGTAATTAAAGTATTTCTGGTACTCTGAACTTGATGCTAGATCAGAACTATGAGTTGATTAAAATGCATTACTTGCAAACAGCAACAGTAATGCTTTTAATGGCAACCACTATTAATCTCTCTGGCTTTATTGGTATTTATCCCCATATGGTTACTTTCAAGTATCTGCCTGTAGAGCACAAAGCCTTTGTAATGCTTATGAAGCTTTGAATGGATCCCGCCAGTCTAATGAGGCTTGGCTTTTATTAAACTAGCTCATTTCCAAGTAAACATCATAATCACCAGGGAGTTCCTGGCACCCTCCTGCATAAGGCAGTGGTTCGTACTGATTGCTGCTAGGGATGGGATACTGATAGAGAGGAAACATTGCTCTCATCCAACATTACGAATGTTTAATTGACGTTCCTGTTTGTTTGGAGGGGACTTGCCAAGGCAGAGGAGTGGAAGTGACGGGGGAATGAAAGGGACCAAAACAGGATGTCTGGCTGACAGTAGGCATGAATCTAATGCAGGAACAGCATGGAGAGCTGAACCTGGCCACGTTGGAACCCAGTCAAGTTGAGCTCACTGCCCTTTTGGGAAGGGATCTTTAGTTGGTGTGCCTCCTAGCTAGAAGCAGCTGATGGAGGTGGTGTGTTAGAACAGGAGAGAGGAAGTGCAGCATTCAAAGAAAAACAATCTGGGAAGGACAGTAGGGTCAGAGCAAGACATACTTGTTCTTGGCTTTCTGAGGGTTGGATGATGACTTTTCTATAACCAGAGGTTTGAGCACTGTCCTGAATATGTTTCCAGGTGACAGGTAAATTCCGTGGGGGAGTGAATCCTTTTACCCGAGGATGCTGCGGAAATGTGGAACATGTGCTCTGCAGCCCCTTGGCTCCCAGGTAAGAGAAATGCTCTCAGATGGGAATGAGTGAGATAGATTAGTTGTTGGGACAGAGGAAGAAAATGTGCTTGGTTGGGCTCACAAGTGAAAGACCATTGATGAAATAACAGGGAAGTACAGCAAAACACTCCTGAAGGCAGAACTCTGTGACATCTGCTTCACTGTTGCATGGCTGTAACCTGTCCGAGCAGTTGCTTTCTTGATGTAATTCATAACCCTCATCCCAGAAATATTTATTTAAAATGAGCATGTCAAATTATATCAAGAGCTGATACCCTTTTCTTCACCAACTTGTTTATCCAGTGGATTTCAGTAACAAGGTAAGTTTCCATGTGCTATCATATTCCCAACATGACTTTTTACACTGTACAGTCAATGTCCAGGAATTCCAGTCTGCTGGAGAAAAGGAAGGAATCTAAAATCAGCCTTTCTCCTTAAAACGTAAATCTAATTTAAGGCTGCTGTGGTTTTCAATCTCACTGGCACTTTCATTATCATAAAACAGATTTTCAATGAGGTCTACATCATGGAACTTGGGATTTTATTTATGGCTTTCTATTTTTGGGGAAATGGATTTATGGTTTCACATTTTGAAATCAGGATTTTAATGCAATAGATCAGATGGAGTATAGATATCCTAGGTGCTGAGCTGTCCAGCCTGCAAGCATGTTAAAAATTGTACTACAAGACAACTTATTTGAGCCTTTTCAGGGTGTCAAGCAATTCCAGACCCTGACACTATTATCTGCCCTCTTTTTTTTCCCCTTCACCATGCAACATTTAAGTCCTAAAAGACTGTTACGTGCGTTAAAGTGAAGATACTGGAATAGCTGCTTCTCAAACACAGAATCACAGAATGGGTAGGGTTGGAAGGGACCTATGGAGATCATCTGGTCCAACCCCCCTGCCAGACCAGGGTCACCTACAACAGATTGCACGGGACAGCGTCCAGGCGGGTTTTGAATGTCTCCAGAGTGGGAGACTCCACCACCTCTCTGGGCAGTCTGTGCCAGTGCTCCACTACCCTCAAGGTAAAGAAGTTCCCCCTCATGTTAAGATGGAACTTCCTATGTTCAAGCTTGGGCCTATTTCCCCTCGTCCTATCACTGGGCACCACTGAAAAAAGACTGCTCCCGTCCACCTGGCATCCTCCCTTTAAGCATTTGTAAGTATTAATAAGATCCCCCCTCAATCTTCTTTTCTCTAGACTAAAGAGACCCAAGTCCCTAAGCTTTTCCTCATATGAGAGATGTGATTCTCATATGAGAGAAACTTACCAAAACATGAAAATCAGGTCAAGATACATTACGAGAGCCACATATTAGAAGTTGGGAGACACTCCTGTTAGGAGAAGGGTGTGAGTACTATCATCATGGCTAGTCTCAGACTTTCAGCAAGCATAACATTTGTGTTTTGTGAAGACCTGTTCGAATTGTCCTGTATGTTGAAAGTCACTGAGCCATCACAACTGGAGTGTCCTATTCACTAGATAAAACAGAGAGAGCTTGTGTGTGTATTGATATTTGTGCATTGTACAGCCACTGCCCAATTGCACTTACAGAATTCTAGTCCACTGGAAAGAAATTAGGTATCTAAAGTCAGCCATTTCCCTTTAGATTTGTTGCTTCCTATAGACCTGTCTGTTTCTTTTGAACACTCTAAACATGCTACAGAAACAAGTCACTGTGTGGTAAGCTAGAACTGACAGCACATCATCTTCTCCATGTTAATTCCCCATGTGCTGGGTCTTATTCCCCCAGTCACCGTCTTCCACTGCAGGGAGGCTGTTTCGTGTTAACTAGGTAAGATTTAGTAAATTGCTTCCACTGGTGGTAGGCCTCTCTTTCTCTCTTCATGTGAACTGCACTCTTGTCCATCAGTGCTTCAAAAATTGCTTGGGCTTTTTAATGCATCCTCTCCTTTTGCTCACTAAAAAAAAAACCATTTATCTTTTTATTGCTTTTTAATTATTACATCCATTGAAATAAATGGAGTTAACCTACCTAGATTCTGACACATTCTTAAATCATAGCCTGGAAGCAGGAAGATTTTCTTGTCTCTAAGCCTTGTTCTTAGGTTATTGCTTATTTTAATGATGACTGTTGAACAATTAATCAGGTACATAGTTGAGCCCAAGAAAAAGCAAGCTGTGAGTGTGAAGCCTCCTTTCCTTAGACCTGATTTATCTGAGCGACAGATCACAGTGAAGATCAGTGACAACGGGATCCAAGCCAACCTCAACCGGAGCAAGGTAAGGCTGCTTTTGAAGAGCATGGATTGAGCATTATCAAGCCAGGGAATGGGTTTGTCATTGAAAATCTCTTTGAGCTGATGCACTTTTTGGGGAAAATGATAGAGGTTGAGTCCTTGTCATATACTTCATCCTGTGAAAGTAACCCAGGTTCAGTAACAGCAGCAGTTCTTGATTCAGTAACAGCCTTTTTTGCAGCTCTATAATAGAAAGCCTCTGGGCATCTTTTGGAAGAGGTGGGTGTTCTTTGCAATAGTTACTTTCTGTCCCAAGAGTTGCCATCTCTTGGTGTTCAAATTAATATTAACAAACCTAAAGCTGTGTGGGAACCCTTGTACCACCAGGTCAGCTGTGCAGGAAGGCTTGGGGTCTAGCGAAAGGAATACTGGCTCAGTAGCCGAGTTCTCTTCTCTCTTCTTCTTTTTTCAGTTTCTCCTGCCATGAAATAGAGAGAAGGATTTGTTTAGTTATATAAAAAGCAGTGGATTCAAAAGAAGCCACCTTGCAAGATTTTTGTAGATAGTTACATGTTACACTCTCTGGATAGTTACTTGCTGAGAGCTGCCCGGAAAGGTGCTGAAAAATGCTAGAAAACACTATAGTCTTCTACCACATATTAACTGGTGTGATGGTAATGTTATTTAGCATGCCAAGTAGGCCAGGATAGTGCATTTAAAATTGTACTAGCTTGTTATGACAATGCTAATTTTACACATGACAGTCCTTATCTGCAGCGGATGCTAAATCATGTTTGTCATTATTGGTATAGGTAGTTCTTGTTCTGTGGTACATCCAGCACTCTGACACGTGCTGTTACTTAACCAGGTTGTGGGTAATGATTGATTCTTTGGTCATTTTCAGTCTAAAATTAGCCTGGAAGGTCTGGAGGATACAAGTATGGATGTGCAACCACCTCTCCCACCCAAAGGAGATCCAAGCAAGTACTCTGAGCTAAAAGGGCAACTGGGGACCAGTGAAGGTATAGTTGCATGATCAGTGTTTTATTTTTATTAAGAAGAAAATATTTCAGCCTCTCTAAAAGGCTTCTGGTATTCTTTCAAAACAGTAATGGGATCTGGGTGAAGAG